ATGTTTCCCTACCCCTCGGGCACATTACATATGGGGCATTTACGGGTCTACACAATCTCAGATGTATTGGCGAGGTTTTACCGTATGCGAGGGCATGAGGTTCTCCATCCGATGGGCTGGGATGCGTTCGGATTACCGGCGGAGAATGCGGCGATCGAACGCGGGATTGACCCGGCCGATTGGACGAAGCAGAACATCGCGAAGATGAAGGAACAGTTACGCAGCATATCGACGTCTTTTGACTGGGATCGGGTATGTGCCGGATACGTCTCAATTGGACTATTTGACACTCGTTGACCAGCTCTGGCGTGCGCTCTAGGAATTTGCGACTTGCTCGCCCGAGTTCTACGAACATACGCAGCGGATATTCCTGATGTTGTATCGAAAAGGTCTTGCCTATCAGGCTGAGGCGCTCGTCAATTACGATCCGGTTGATAAGACGGTGCTTGCGAACGAGCAGGTGTGTCTGTTATACTTTGAGATGGATTGTCTTCAAGGCTAACTTCGGTTCAGGTTGATGCCAATGGTTTCTCATGGCGCTCCGGCGCAAAGGTTGAGAAGTTGAAGCTAAAACAGTGGTTCTTCCGAATCACGGAATTCAAGGAAATGTTACTGAAAGATCTGGACTCGTTGACCGGGGTTTGGCCTGAGCGCGTATTGACTATGCAACGCAACTGGCTGGGCAAGTCATACGGTGCGAAAATCAAATTCCCCGTCGCTGTTGGTGGGAGCGGTGATACAAGTCTCCATGTCAATGTTTTCACCACGCGCCCAGATACTTTGTACGGAGTTGAGTACATCGCACTCTCTTTGGACCATCCCATTGTCCTTGAGGCTGCAGAAAAGGATGCGACCTTGCGGAAATTCCTTGATGAAGCAGCTTCACTTCCACCTGACTCCAAAGTTGGTTATAAGCTGTCGGGTGTGACCGCTTCAAACCCGTTGCACATCATTGACAAGGAAAGTCCTCACGTGGCGCGGAAATTGCCCATCTTCGTTGCCCCTTATGTCCTTAGTGACTATGGTGAGGGAGCCGTTATGGGAGTTCCAGGTCATGACTCTAGAGACTTGGCGTTCTTTAACGAGAACACAAATCCCGAATCAATTCCAGTCGTTATCGAACCGGAACACTCGTCTAATCCAAAGGACGATACCACAGGGACTGTCTCACCTCCAAGCAACATTAAAGCATTTACTCAAGAAGGTATCCTTACCTCGAGATGCTGGAAATACCAAGGCCTCCACTCTCATGAAGCCAAGAAGCAGATCGTTACCGACCTTAAAGGAGTTGGCCATGGTGATTTCGTTGAGCAGTGGAGACTCAGGGACTGGCTGATCAGTAGGCAGCGCTACTGGGGAGCTCCCATCCCCATCATTCACTGCGACAGCTGTGGCCCTGTGCCTGTGCCGGAGGACCAGCTTCCCGTCCGACTACCCAAGATTGAGGGTGACTGGCTCAAAGGGAAAAAGGGCAACCCGCTCGAGTCGTCGCAGGATTGGGTCAACACAAAATGCCCAAGTTGCAGCGGGCCTGCAAAGCGCGACACAGACACCATGGATACCTTCGTTGACTCGTCCTGGTACTATCTCCGCTTCCTGGACGCCCACAATAAGGAGCAGCCATTCTCGACTTCGGAAGCGCGACCGGTTGATATCTACATTGGCGGCGTCGAGCACGCTATCCTGCACTTGCTGTATGCTCGATTTATCTACAAATTTCTTTCCCAGACGGAGTTGTTTCCGGAGATTGCTCGGACGAGTAACGTCTCGGGGCCTTCAGAACCGTTCAAAACGGTCCTGACCCAGGGTATGGTCCATGGAAAGACGTATACTGAGCCGTCCACCGGTCGATTCCTACTCCCGTCGGAAGTTGACCTTTCCAATCCAAACAAGCCGCTCATCAAGGGCACCCAGGTCGCCCCTAACATCTCATTTGAGAAAATGTCGAAGAGCAAACACAACGGCGTGGATCCCACGTCTTGCGCGCTACAGTATGGCGCCGATGCCACTCGTGCACATGTTCTTTTTTCCGCACCTGTCAGTGAGGTACTGGAGTGGGATGACACGAAGATTGTGGGCATTGAGCGTTGGTTCGGTCGGCTCTGGAAACTTGTGCTGGAAACCAAGCAAAGCCTGGCTTCGGCATCATTCACAGTTTCGCAGACTGATTTGCAGAAATCTTCCGGCCCTATCTCCACGCTTCCTTCCCTATTGCAGGGTCTTGGCGATACTGACGCTGATAGCCTTCTCCACACTCATCAGACCATCGTATCAGTGACCAACTGCATTGAAAACAGCCCGTACGGTTTGAACACCGTCATCTCCGACCTGACCAAGTTGACCAACACGTTGACATCGTCAACCCCAGTGTCTCCCCAGGCTTTGTACCTTTGTGTCTCCTCACTTGTTCGGCTCCTCGCTCCTGTGGCCCCGGCCTTGGCCTCTGAATGTTGGGAGGTTCTGAATGGTTCACTCATCGACGAGGTTGAGAGCACTGGAGCCCGTGTACCAGATATCTTCGACTGCGCGTGGCCGTCTCCCCTTTTGACCTCCGAGCAGGCTGATGTTTTGTCCGCGCGCGGAGGTCAGATTGTAGCTGTTCAAATCAATGGAAAGCTACGCTTCACGGTGACTATTCCTCGAAGATTATCCCCCACAACATCTGGAGAATCCAGTGACAACTCTGGTGCAGTCACCGATGAACAAGACTGGATTATCAGTCGGATTTTGGAAACCAACGAAGGCCGCGTCTGGTTGCGAGAGAAGAACGACTGGGAAAAGCGGAGACGAGTAGTGGTTGTCAAAGGAGGCAGATTGGTCAACATTGTCTTCTAAACGCGAACTGCTGAAACGTACGATTTAAGGAGTCGCTCCGGAGGTTGCCCGGGGTACCTATGTAGTATAGACGTTGTACATTAGAAGTATAGAAGATTCATCTCTCGAATGCCACATCTTGGAACCAGATCTCCCTTGCAAGAAATTTTGAGCTTTCCTGATTTCTTGCAGCTTCAGTTTTCTGCTTTAGCGAGAATAACCGGTTTGGCAACTCGAAACAGTGCCCATGCGCCCGTGTTCCGCACTTGCGTATATCTGTTGCAGATTGCGCGGTCGGTGGGGAGCAGTGGGGAGCTGGCGGGCGGCGTTCCCCTCATCATCGCGGAGCTGACTGATGATGGTCTAAATTCGGTATCCTCACTCTCAACAATGATGCGCATTGCTTGACTGACGGGACCTGAAGCTTCGGATGAAAGTTGGGGAAATCTCGGGCAACAGTATTATAGATACCTGCATCAATTGTCGATTGACGTTTGGTTGGAGGTCCTGGAGCTCCGATTAGTGGGCCGAGCTTGACTGAGAGCCAAGATTCCAGAAGAACAGCATTGAGTCTCTGAGACACCCTCCAAATGTATCTTCCGGAATGATTTGGATGGACTTGATAGACACTGTTCATCCGTTCGAACGGCAATTTCTCGAGCCAGACTCGCATGGTCTGACTTAATGTGGGCTCAGTACCCAAAAGATACTCCATACCTCTCTATGAAATTTGAAGAGGTAGTGCGGGGTATGAGGGGGTTCTCCTCATGAGGGGTGAGCGATGAGACGAGGGGTTTCACAGCTATCTAAATGGGGAATAGCGTTCCATACAGAACCCCTCAGCTTAAGTGGGAGGTGGGTATCGAGGGCATCCACTTGTTGGTATGGGGTAAAGGGGGGGTACCTCTGTAGAGATGTATGTACTAACATCGCTAACGCCGAGAATAAGCCGTGATTGATGTGTACTTTTTTTTTAAGTCTATGTTGTGGACTATGTATGATTCCTTCCTCAGCTGTTCGCTGTGTGAGGCTGAACCCCGTCTAGTATCCTCTCATCGCCAACCCCTCACTAAGAGGTCAATGCACGCTTTTTTCTTCGCTGCTATGCAAGGACATACAGGTAAGTATTGACGGGTTCATGTCTGTAATCTGCTCAAGCAATTCGTAGGTTGTGTATCATTGTATGTTTCGCTGAACCCCGCATTGCCGTAGTTTGTCGAGTCTCAGCCGTAGCAGCATGCCTTGGTCGCACAAGGATGAATGCCAATTAAGGATACTCGAGTGACAGTATTACATGCATATTCAAGAAAGAGGCAATTATTGCTAGGTACTAGGATAATAATCCTCTTACTGGCTCAAGTAGCGTCAAATGTCAAAGCTCTCTCCAACTCCAACCACTCGCACTGTCGTTCTTGTCCCGCATGCGGAGAGACCCAATAATCCATCATCTCACCCACTTTCCATGAGTTCCGTCGATCCGTTCGTATTCTTGACTCCAGGACTAGTAATATTGTTTGTTAGCTGAGGTGGTCTTCCAATGTTACCTTTTGGAGTGAACCAGGTTGCTCTGCCATGGCCCACTGGTTGGTGGAGTTCCGCTCATCCCCAATGGATAGTGCCACATCCTCGATACCTTGATAGTTGCTATGTGGTAATATGGTACTACTTATGCATAATACCTAAGAAGCACTGGTGTTTTGAGAATTGGAGAGGGGCAGTTTGCACCAGTCTGTTCACCATGAAAATTGGTCTAGTAAAGGACCCAGAAAGGTCTATATATTTGGGGCCATGTCCCTGTGGTTCTGAATGCTCCTTTTTTCTATATCAGTCTCATATCATCATCCGCATCATTAGCTCATTCTTTTGCTTGACCGAATCCGGTAAGTTTCCTTATCTGTCTCCCTCTCTCCTCATTCTTCCCTCTTGGGCCTTCGTCTACCTGAAATAGCCATAATTCTTCGGCTTCTCCCTGGACATGATTCCCCACCTTCCATGCCATCCGGCTCTTCCCCGCCCTGCATCATGCTTCTATCGCGTCCATGGGATTTTGCGCCGAAATAACCATAGACTATCTGGCTCCAGGCCTAAAGTCAGTGATGATTTAAATAGATCGCTGACTCCTCAATCTCAGGTTCATCTCTCAACCATCCTTCTTCATATCTAACTCAATCAACTATCAATTCAAAATGGTATTTATCCGTTCTTTGTCTCGTCAGCTGCGGCGGCCTGCCACTTCTCTCTTTTCTACCAAAGGAATCTTTCCTCCTCCCAGCAGAAGTCCATTCCGGGCTGCTTCTCTGGGAGGTTCCGTCTCTGGTGCACGAACGCTGACAGCCTCTGCCAACCTACAGGGCAAAGTTCTTATGGTCCTCTATGACGTAAGTACCCGCAACAACTTCTGTTTGCTATGACATGACAAGGCCTGGAAACTGATCGACGAGGAAAACAGGGCGGTGAGCACGCCAAACAGCAGCCTGGCCTTCTTGGTACCACCGAGAATGAGCTTGGTTTGAGAAAGTGGATCGAGGAGCAGGGCCACACTCTGGTCACCACCTCCGACAAGGAGGGCGAGAACTCTACCTTTGACAAGGAGCTGGTCGATGCCGAAGTCATCATCACCACCCCGTTCGTGTCCCGTCTGGAGTGCTTACCCTGTCACGCAATTACTGACCTTCTATTGTAGTTTCCACCCCGGTTATCTCACCGCAGAGCGCTTGGCCAAGGCCAAGAACCTGAAGCTCGCCGTCACTGCCGGTGTTGGTTCCGACCACGTTGACCTCAATGCCGCCAACAAGACCAACGGTGGTATCACTGTCGCCGAAGTCACTGGCTGCAATGTTGTCTCTGTCGCCGAGCACGTTGTCATGACCATTCTGACTCTGGTTCGCAACTTCGTCCCTGCCCACGAGCAGATCCGCAACGGTGAATGGGATGTTGCCGCCGTTGCCAAGAACGAGTTCGACCTCGAGAACAAGGTCGTCGGAACCGTCGCTGTTGGACGTATCGGTGAACGTGTGCTGCGCCGTCTCAAGCCCTTCGACTGCAAGGAGCTGCTCTACTACGACTACCAGCCCCTCAAGCCCGAGGTTGAGAAGGAGATTGGTTGCCGCCGTGTTGAGAACCTTGAGGAGATGCTCGCCCAGTGCGATGTTGTCACCATCAACTGCCCTCTGCACGAGAGCACTCGCGGTCTCTTCAACAAGGAACTCATCTCCAAGATGAAGAAGGGTAAGTTTTGCTGTCACGTTCGACTCGCGAATGACTCGTCCGCTAATTGTCCCAGGCTCTTGGCTCGTCAACACTGCCCGTGGTGCTATTGTTGTCAAGGAGGACGTTGCCGAGGCCGTCAAGTCCGGCCACCTCCGCGGCTACGGTGGTGATGTCTGGTACCCTCAGCCCGCTCCCAAGGACCACCCCCTTCGGTACGTCCAGGGCCCTTGGGGCGGTGGTAACGCCATGGTTCCTCACATGTCCGGTACCTCGATCGACGCCCAGATCCGTTACGCTCAGGGCACCAAGGCCATCCTCGACAGCTACTTCTCCGGTCGCCAAGACTACAGACCCGAGGATCTCATCGTCAAGGACGGTGACTACGTCACCAGGGCCTACGGTCAGAGGCAGAAGTAAACGTCTCAATAACTTTATGAAACGAATGACTGATTGTACTTATTCTTGCACATTTCTTTGGTTTCCCCTTTATGAGTGACCTACCCATCTTATGATACCTAAATGGCATTTCTCTTTTCTTCAATCCATTAGTTACTCATAGCGCGAGTTCCAACTTCGCTCTTACTCTCAAATACTGTATGGTTTGGAGCGCAAGCTTAATAGCTGATCGGAATCTTATGATTCAGCTAACAAGCCATGTATGCGGTTATTTGGTTGACACGCAACCCAGATGCTCAGCGACATCTGTGGCAATGCAGAGTCCTCAGGTTGAAATAGTTTGGCTTCAGACTAGTTGGTGGGGAACCGTCGATCACCTAAAGCTTAACCCTTTTAGAGTTGCTTAACCTGTAGGCGCAAGATTGGTCCCTTGGAACCATGATGATTCCGTCAATAGTTCAATACAAGCATGATCTGTTACCCTCCAAGGAGTTGAGAACCATTCAATTGTGGTTTAATAACTGGACTCTCCTTAATCACTTTGATCTGAATGCTCAGACTCAAGGCCACAGCGGACTACATAGCTCTCAAGTATCAATCGCTGGAACCGCTACTGTTATATGTAAATTTAAATATGAGTATCAAGCTTAATGGAGGACACTTTCTGTCCTAATGCATAAAGCACTCCGTTTAACTCGTGTTCTGTGCAGAAAAAAAAGCGAGGTGGACGATTGCTCAGGACAATCGCGGACGTTAGTCAATAGGATAAATTATGTCCTTGATGCCACAATGTTCGAGCGAGGTTATGAGGTCCTATGAGTTAGCATTCTTCACATATCTGGCATCATTTGGTATGTGCCTTACGATATTGCCACGCTATCGAGGGTATCTACTGACTGTTTCAACATTCTAACGACACTTGATTCAAGTTCAAATTTGGAAAGTTCTCGATGGCATCCATCAGATACATGTGACAATATCTGAAGAAGAGACTGCAGTCTTCATGCCGCTTGTCTAATATGCATATACCCAAACGCCAGCTGCAACTGCAAGACAAACAAATAATCGATCACAAATCATCGACGAACCCTTGAATGGCCATGGTCATCCCCTCCATCATCGCTATCGTCCATGAACCCCTGCTCGAGGTCCCGGCTGAGTCGGCTGGTTCTGTCAGCCGTTGTATCGCGCCGTCTTTCCAGCGCTTCCCTCCGAGAGGGATCCATGTTCATCCCGACCATGATTTCCCCCTCCTCGTCAAATATGCTAATGTTATCGTGTTGTCCGTCGGTCTGCCGCCGCCACGACGATGGCAAGAAGAAGCGCATGACAGCATCGGCTATACGATCTCGCAAGGATAAAGTATGCGCAGAAATGGCTTGCAACGGAAGATACTGTGAGTAGCGTTGATGATAGCGACGGAAGAATGGGACAATGAGGAATGAGAGGAGGAGATAAAGCGCCAGGGATATTACGGCGGGGATCAGAAGGGTCTAAGCAGGAACAGATCATTAGAAATCAACACCGTCAGAATACGACACCGCAGAAAACTCACCTTGGCCACATTTGACATGGAGCCCATCTTGACTGTGGCTCAAAGTGGCGGCTTGAGTTGCGTATATAGGCAACAGCTTAGGTATATGCTCAGGAGTAATGATAGTGACGGTTCTCTGATCAACATGAAGACATCATGCTCGCATCACACAAGAATAAGACAAAGCGACTAAGGCTTCTGTAGATCACCGTTCAGGTTTCCAGTAGCCCATACCTGCTGACGATTATCTTACAGCCTGCTCTTCGTCGCAGATGCTGCAGACTAATGCAGACAATCACACGTGACTTTATCTCCTGAACAGAGAGAAAGGTCACGTGAGTAAGCGGCCCCTGCTGCGTTCTAGAGCCGCCTCTCACCCCCCTAAACGAGTAATGCCCGCGCTTTAACCCTGACAAGCAAACGACGTTTATAGCATCATCCTAGTGCCCACACAAGCAGGACAAGCGATCACACCCTTTTTGGGAGACCGATACCCCTCGCTTGTGGTGTTGCGCCTTTTCGCACCCAGCCCGGAAGAGGAGGGAGGATTTAAATTGTTACTATTCTGCGCCCTCCCCCCTCCTGTTCTAGCGCTGCTCCGCAGCGGGTATTCGACTGCTAGTCAGGAGTCCCAACTACGGCTTATTGGATTTGAGTCGGATGTCATTGACGCCCTTGCGCAGGTTTGACAGCAACGGGGTTCGTCGGTTTCTGGGAACAACCTTATTAGCGACAACGCTTCTCTTTAGATCTTCTGGTTGTGGACAACGCTCATGCTGCGCCCTGCATCTCCCCAGCGACGCCCGTCAAGATGCCAACCACCACATCCGCATCCGACAAATCGAGACAAACCTCGGCTGGCAAAGGATTCTTCGGGAGGAAGCTGCACAAGGAGAGGCCGGTAGATGATCGGTATGAGGGTTATGGAGGGTCGGAGAATCTTGCGCCCCCAGGAAGCGCTGCTGGATCCCGCTCGTCCCGGCATTCGAAACGATCATCCGTCCAATCTGTGGATTACTCGCACGATTTCGACCCAAGCGGTCTCTCGATGACCGCAGGTGTCATAACATCCATTCCCTTTGAGAGCCTTCCTGCGGATACCAGGTCTCCCATACCGGTAGATTATCTTTCCAGGGCGGAGACGTCGCCGCGAAAGGAGCCATCGCCAAATCATCTTGCCAAGGGGGGCGGTGATTTTCATCAATACCCAGCATGGAACTCGACGGGACCACGAGAAAACAACGCCTTTTCCCATCCTACTGGGCCTCGTCCCCCGCCGCACGCGTCCAATGTGTCTATGGTCGGGGGTACTGCAGGAGACAAGAGCGCGAGGTATCAGCAGTGGGCAAGACCAGGCAGTTCGGCCACCAATGCTGGGTTCAGTCATAATTCCTCGTCCACCGCGGATTCATCGTCGACGTCGCGGATGTCCCTTGATCAGACCAGCATCCATTCGTCTCTCTCTTCCAACACAAGGGGCTCGAGTTATATCTCATCGGACGGCTCAGCACGGACGCTCACAACATCGCATTCAGGTGACCGTGGCACTCTCTTCCCAAGCAGTGGCAACTCCAATCGATTCTCTACCGCACAAGCGGCATGGCAGGCTGCTCAGCTGGCTACCCATTCTGCTGCACCGGCCCTCAATCCCGAGCAATATCTCACGCGGCCCAGGGACGATCGCATAGTGGACCAACTGTTCCTTGACTTGATGCAAAAGCGAGGCTGGCAAAACCTTCCAGAGCAGGCCAAGCGGCAGATGCTGGCGTATCCCGCATCCAAGAAATGGACGCTAGTACACCAGGACCGCTTGACGGAACTCCAGGGTGAACAGAAGCGGAGGCAAAACGCAAGGCAAACTCATGGCCATGACGGTCCGACCGGCATTCTCGAGCGGGCTGATGAAGAAGGGAGCCCGGAGTGGTATGTGAAGAAGGTCATGGACGACAGTATCACATCAAAGCAATTGGCCAGTTTGAGTGTCAGTCTGCGAACACAACCCATCAGGTGAGTTTCTCGTACCAGGCTTACAGCATTCGACCTCCCGCTAATAATATGATAGTTGGGTCAGAGCTTTTGTTGAAGCACAAGGTCAAATCGCCTTGACCAATGTTCTCTCAAAGATCAACCGCAGGAAGGCTTCGGGCCCTGTCCCCGCACCACCGACAGGCGACCGGGACTTGGATAGAGAGTATGATATTGTTAAGTGTCTCAAGGCCCTCATGAACAACAAATATGGTGCGGACGACGCAATCAACCATCAGCAGGTCATTATTGCTCTTATCAGCTCGCTATTATCTCCGCGGCTGAACACAAGGAAATTGGTCAGTGAGGTTCTGACCTTCCTCTGTCACTGGGCGGAAGGAGAGGGCCATCAAAAGGTCTTGCAGGCTATGGATCATGTCAAGAACCAGCATGGTGAAACTGGCCGTTTTGACGCCTGGATGCGAATCGTCGAGGTGACGATCGACGGCCGGGGCAAAATGGGCAGTTTAGTCGGTGCCAGTGAGGAGTATCGCAGCGGCGGCATTGGCATGGAGAATCTGCTCATGGAGTATGCGGTCTCAACCATGATGCTCATCAACATGTTGGTGGATGCGCCGGAAAATGACCTACAATTGCGATGCCACATCCGGGCCCAGTTCATCTCCTGCGGCATCAAGCGTCTCTTGACGAAGATGGAAGGCTTCCAGTACGAGGTCATCGATAAGCAGATCGAGCGATTCAGAGAAAATGAGGCAATCGACTATGAAGATCTCCTTCAGCGGGAGAGTAGCAGTATGAAGGATAGCATCGAGGGTGAGGTGAAGGACATGAGCGATCCCCTGCAAATCACGGATGCCATTCTGACCAGACTCAATGGGACGCGTGCCCACGATTACTTCCTTTCCGCTATGCAGCACATGCTTCTCATACGGGAGAACTCCGGGGAGGACGGTCTTCGAATGTTTCAGCTTGTCGATGCCATGCTCAGCTACGTTGCCATGGACCGGAGACTACCCGATCTGGATCTACGGCAAGGATTGACTTTTACAGTACAAAGTCTTCTGGACCGGCTTCATACTGATGCAGAGGCGAGACAGGCATACGACGAGTCCCTTGAGGCGCGGCAGATCGCGGAGGCCGCAATTGCGGAGCGGGACGAGATGAAGGCTCAGGTGGAGATGGGCGCGGATGGTTTGGTGAAGAAACTGCAGAAGCAGATCGATGAACAAACGAGCATCATTGAGCTTCAGACTAGACAAAACGAAGCACTCAAGGCAGAGCTTGCCGACGTTCAGCGGCTGCGTGCTCAGGAGCTGCAGCGGAATGAACTGGAAACCAGAGAGCTCTATCTGATGCTCCGGGACGCTCAGGATATCGCTGCATCGAATGCCAAGAAGAATAATCTTGCCGAGACCGATCCATCGCACATGAGGGGTATCCTGGACCGGGAAAGACTGCTGGAGCGGTTGGAGAAACAGCTTGAGCGGACCAAGACTCAGTT